AGTGTACCCCCACTACAACCTCAGTAAGTATTCAATATCAGTGTACCCCAACTATAACCTCAGTTAGTATTCAATACTAGCTAGTGTTTTCTTTACTTTTTTCCTGATTTTGTTGAGATGTTTTCGTACGTGTTATTAGACACTTGAATGGCACTATCATCTGTTTCAAAAAATGTTTTACTCTAATTCATGATATCTATGATCTGTTTCAGAAAAGTTTGTGTTGTACCCAATGGCCTGCCCCCTGGACACAGTCATCCCTAAGTTAGGGTTCATTCCACATGCCACATGTCTTGCCTCAAAATTCCTACAGGTAAGATTGTCACCATGGAAACAGGATTTAAAATATTCATTCCTACAATTTACTGGTCTTCACGCATGACAATATTATGACAAACGATGACAAAATTCACTGTATACGATAAGAAGTATCATAATGCTTACTGTTACATGTAAATACTGATTTTAGTGTACATAATCTTGTTGACATGTTGACAAATTCACTTTAGTTCCTGAATTCAGTTATCTTGTCAAATAGATTCTACTAGGTAAAGCTTGTCACCATGGAAACAGGATTCAACTAGGTAAAGCTTGTCACCATGGAAACAGGATTCAACTAGGTAAAGCTTGTCGCCATGGAAACAGGATTCTAATAGGTAAAGCTTGTCACCATGGAAACAGGATTCTATTTGGTAAATCTTGTCACCATGGAAACAGGATTCTACTAGGTAAAGCTTGTCACCATGCAAACAGGATTCTGATAGGTAAATCTTGTCACTATGGAACAGGATTCTAATAGGTAAACCTTATAACCATGGAAACAGGATTCTAGAAGGTAAAGCTTGTCAACATGGAAACAGGATTCTAATAGGTAAACCTTATAACCATGGAAACAGGGTTCTAGAAGGTAAAGCTTGTCAACATGGAAACAGGATTCTAATAGGTAAACCTTATAACCAGGGAAACAGGATTCTAATAGGTTAAGCTTGTCACCATGAAAACAGGATTCTAATAGGTAAATCTTGTCACTATGGAAACAGAATTCTAATAGGTAAATCTTGTCACTTTGGAAACAGGATTCTAATAGGTAAAGCTAGTCACCATGGATACAGGATTCTAATATGTAAAGCTTGTCACCAGGGAAACAAGATTCAAATAGGTAAAGCTAGTCACCATGGAAACAGCATTTATAATAATAGCCATGTAATTATAAAACATAATTCATATGAGTTAACAGGTAGCTAGGTCATTTCTGGAATATCTCCACATAAAAATGAGGAAAGCTAAACTTGACCTGGCCCAGCTGTCCTATGCTTGGTTATAAACTATTAAGTTGACAACATAACAACGAGGAAAGCTGAACTTGACCTTGCCCAGCTGTCCTATGCTTGGTTATAAACTATTAAGTTGACAACATAACAACGAGGAAAGCTGAACTTGACCTGGCCCAGTTGTCCTGTGCTTGGTTATAAACTATTAAGTTGACAACATAACAACAAAGAAAGCTGAACTTGACCTTGCCCAGCTGTCCTATGCTTGGTTATCAACTATTAAGTTGACAACATAACGAGGAAAGCTCAACTTGACCTGGCCCAGCTGTCCTGTGCTTGGTTATAAACTATTAAGTTGACAACATTACAATGAGGAAAGCTGAACTTGACCTGGCCCAGCTGTCCTATGCTTGGTTATAAACTATTAAGTTGGCAACCTAACAATGCGACTGATGGAATGTTGATAATAAGAAATGTACTACGGGTGTTTTAAGAGTGTTTTGGATGTTTTGACTTGCGTGTCTTTTGTTTTAAAGATGGATCCGTTTCGGAGGATTCCAGCCCAGAAGGCCATGCATGCAGAGTACTTTGCGGATCTGCCACCTAAGATTTATGAACTTCCAGATGGTGAGAGACATACGATATACTGATTATTACTTTAATTTTTGGGAGTAGTTATTTCTAGTTATTATACTGATATGTCTGTTTTTGTTTCAATGTGACAGAACCAACATTGACAAGACATTTGATCAAATATTTATGCTAAGTTTAGGCTTGACTTGTAACGTCACACTTCCATAATTGGTAGGCTAACCAAATTGGTACACTGTCAGAAAATGGTTCGAATAGTACTTTGAAATTTGTGTAGTTTTCTCTGATGGCATAGTAAAAGATATATTCATCAAATTAAACATGTAAGAAAACCAGAAGAAATTATGTATAGTGACGAAATTTTTGAGGATTTTGAAGGGGTAAATTAAAGGAGTGTTTAAATATTGATTTCTGGTCCTAATAACCGAATAATATATAAAAGTGTATATACAAATGTATGACAATTGTTGTTCAGTATGGTATTTGTAAAAACAAGTGCCATAGCCTGTGATAGGGTGTACCAATTAGGGTACTGATCACGGTAAAAACAAGTGTCATAGCCTGTGATAGGGTGTACCAATTAAGGTACTAATCATGGTAAAAACAAGTGCCATAGCCTGTGATAGGGTGTACCAATTAAGGTACTGATCACGGTAAAAACAAGTGTCATAGCCTGTGATAGGGTGTACCAATTAAGGTACTGATCACGGTAAAAACAAGTGTCATAGCCTGTGATAGGGTGTACCAATTAAGGTACTGATCACGGTAAAAACAAGTGTCATAGCCTGTGATAGGGTGTACCAATTAAGGTACTGATCACGGTAAAAACAAGTGTCATAGCCTGTGATAGGGTGTACCAATTAAGGTACTGATCACGGTAAAAACAAGTGTCATAGCCTGTGATAGGGTGTACCAATTAAGGTACTGATCACGGTAAAAACAAGTGTCATAGCCTGTGATAGGGTGTACCAATTAAGGTACTGATCACGGTAAAAACAAGTGTCATAGCCTGTGATAGGGTGTACCAATTAAGGTACTGATCACGGTAAAAACAAGTGTCATAGCCTGTGATAGGGTGTACCAATTAAGGTACTGATCACGGTAAAAACAAGTGTCATAGCCTGTGATAGGGTGTACCAATTAAGGTACTGATCACGGTAAAAACAAGTGTCATAGCCTGTGATAGGGTGTACCAATTAAGGTACTGATCACGGTAAAAACAAGTGCCATAGCCTGTGATAGGGTGTACCAATTAAGGTACTGATCACGGTAAAAACAAGTGTCATAGCCTGTGATAGGGTGTACCAATTAGGGTACTGATCACGGTAAAAACAAGTGCCATAGCCTGTGATAGGGTGTACCAATTAAGGTACTGATCACGGTAAAAAAATCGTAATCTTAGTCCGATTTTAGCGTAATATTTTAAAAAACAAATTAATTAGAATCAAAACTTTTCCTGAAAATGAACCGCCATGGGAAGTCTCGGTCAAAAATCAAGAAACTAATAATTCCAGATATAGGATCTAGATTGTTAAATATCACTGAAATCTGTCCAAATGGCAGCCATTGTGACTTCTGTGGTGTATTGAACACCTTGATTCAGGAACTTAATTTGGTGTGTTTGATTTGTGATATACTTGCCCAAGAGTAAAAATGGGAAATTGAACTTCAATTTTGTGTTTAATAAATCGGATTTGATTATATGCATGCATGGACTAAAATATATAAAGACTGACCACAGCCAAGCCCATACATGTGTGTTATATTCCTTTTTACAGTGGCCTCCATTTTTAACATTCCGGGATTAAAGCTCCTACCCGAACTAGATGAACTAATCGCCCCGACCATTTCTCCCAACCGACCCAAAGAACGGACCCGAATACGAACCACACTCAAAGTGTAATCTCGTAAGTATATATTGTAACTAATATTATCATGTAAACCAATTTCTCCTGGCTGATTCTGTGAACATAGTGAGGTCACAACTTGTGTATGAATATGTAGCCCACCATCATCTTGGTCTGTAGTTGTACAGTTAACATTTTCAGACAGATCAGAAAAAACAAGATGGCCCCCATACCATGTTTGATTTTGACAATTCAAAGTTTGTTTTTTAAAGAACTCCTTATCAGATCATTTTTCATATTTTACATGTAGATTTCCTTTGTATAATTTTATAAGAAGAAAAATGGTGCTGCCAGAATTCAGAAATCTGTCTTGTTCAATTTATTACACCTTTCCGCTTTAATAGTAAAATAACAAACTAAGTTGGATAAGACACTGTCAAACCCAGTTGTATGAAATAAGTTTTAATGAAAAGTTACAAGATGCATTTATACTGTTGAAAGAACAGTTCAATTCAACAGACGAGAGAAAAGAACAGCTCAAACTTACATAACAACTAATGAGGATATTACAATTAGTGGGGCCGACATCCCTGTGGACTCCCTTGTTTGAATTTGACATAATTGTTGGTAGTTATGGAGATTTCATAACCTTAAATGACCTTAGCTGTTGATAGGATGTTAAATCCTGGACAACCTACCAACTCTAAAATTATCAGATCATTTCCTATATTTCCAGTAGTTTTATTTGAATATATCAGTACAGTAGTAGTAATTCATCTCAAACAGAACGATTAAAAATAAGACTTGAATGTGTGTTGTTCTAGGTTACAGAAGCGTGACTGCAGGACGGGAGAATGTGTGACTATATATATGCTGTTATATGCAAGAAGGTGTACTGCATCCTGTCGTCCCCTGATGTCGTACAGACTCGAATCTACATTGCTCTCATCGCCACATTCCTCCGTCTATATTGATGTCTGGAGGTGTCATCGCTCTCATCGCCACATTCCTCCGTCTATATTGATGTCTGGAGGTGTCATCGCTCTCATGGCCACATTCCTCCGTCTATATTGATGTCTGGAGGTGTCATCGCTCTCATGGCCACATTCCTCCGTCTATATTGATGTCTGGAGGTGTCATCGCTCTCATGGCCACATTCCTCCGTCTATATTGATGTCTGGAGGTGTCATTGCTGCTCATCTCCTAAACCTGTCATCTACATCGTGTAGTTAATTGATATTTGTGATTTCCATCATCGCCAATCATCGCCACATCTTTGCATGCCAGAGTCTGGATGTTTCTTCCGGTGTTTCACGTAGACTAGACCAGAAACATGGCATGCTCTGCTGAGTATGTCATGGTATGTCGTCGTATGTCGTCGTATGTGTAAAGGTGTTTCATGATTCTGTCTGCTAACATGGTTTTGTACAGACAGTTTTTATGTTGGCATTATTTTGTATTGTGACCTTCATTCTTATTGGAAGAATTGTATGTAACCCGATTCTCATTTGTAACCTGTATTCTCATTGGTCCATAGGTGGTCACCTGACTAGGATCCCTGTCTGTATTATGTGTAACGTAGTCGGCACATTCTTCAGACATAAGTGATTTATCATCAGAGCCAGCAAGATTTTGTGAGTCATGCTGGACAGTTATCTTTTACATGTTTAACTGAAATGCATAAAATTATTTTTTATTCTGAAATGTTTAAGTTATTTATAATAACTGGTTTACATTATTAAAGCAAATGTTACTTGAAAGTTTTGAAGAATCATTTCACATTTATAACAGAAAATATGAACCGGGTTTAGAAATATTTTCAAATAAAAAAATATATAACAATTTATTTGTCAAAATGATGAATTGAAGCTATATGTACCTTACTGCTATAGGCATATCTGTTACAAAAGAGTTCTGCACGAAACTAGGCATCTTTGGTTTGAACTTGCCAATTAATAGCGACGATTTGTTGAGACTTATTCTGGGGAGCCGTTTCATTCCACTTACAGATTTTTGTCACAGTATTGATATTCCTTTTCGGTTTATTCATGCTTTTGAATTGAGGTAAGCCAGTGTCTAATTTTATCAAAAATTTGTTTTCCAATATGAATATTTTGGGAAGGCAAGAAGTAAAGTAAAACATCAACTCTAGGTTTAAATCACAGTTACTGACTGAAAACAAAGGGATACACAATCAGGACTGTAACACGAAATGTTTGTGGGTACTTTCCTTCGTGGTATGAAGCCATTTAGATCGTTTCGTGGTACAAACTTTCGTGGATATCCTATATTAACAAACAGTAGACACGTATATCATTCAAATTCGTTGTATTTATTTTCGTGGTTCAATAGCAGCCACAAAACCAAAAAGGTTTATTCACAACGAACATGTCATGTTATATAGTATGTGATACTGTAGTCAGTTAGTTCTAAACTTCTAGGTAAATAATTGGAAATCTTTTCAGGGGAGATAATCCAGCACAAATCCCAGTTACATGAACATCTATCCTTTATAAATGTTATGTGCCAGCCTATAGAATTGGTGACTGTATTTTGTCATTGAGGTGGTTAATTGTTATATGAGTTATACTTCCTACAGAGACCTTAATCACCAAAGAGATTGCTATGTGATTTAAAATAAAAATGTTTGTATTTTTAAAGATATATTTTAGCTTAAGAAGTGATATTTTAGCTGAAGAAGTGAAATCAAATGAAAGAAGAATCAAATTAAACATTAATTAATTTTGTTTGTAGTTTATTAATTGCATTTTCCCCATTTCTCATTTGTTTATACTGTAACTAATGTAGTACTGATGAGTCCTTGTATAAATCAGTTTTTGGTAATTTTACAATTTTTTATCTGAAAGTAAGTAAAGTGAAAAAGCAGAATATTTGTACAATTTTCAAGTCAATATTTTTGCCTTTTAATGAGGTTAAGTCACTTCGTTCACAGTAAACATGTCGGACAATGTATTCATGGTAGTGGTCCACACAAGATTTAATAATTGTTTCCAGTCATCAAAGTCACTGTCCATGTTATCTGTAACCATGGCAACTGTTCCTGTATACCTTAACAAAGTTGACTGTCCATGTTATCTGTAACCGTGGTAACTGTTCCCGTATACCTTAACAAAGACGACTGTCAGTGTTTACTGTTACAGTGGTAACTGTTCCCGTATACCTTAGCAAAGTTGACTGTCCATGTTATCTGTAACCATGGCAACTGTTCCCGTGTACCTTAACAAAGACGACTGTCAGTGTTTACTGTTACCGTGGTAACTGTTCCCGTATACCTTAACAAAGACCACTGTCAGTGTTTACTGTTACCGTGGTAACTGTTCCGGTATACCTTAACAAAGACGACTGTCAGTGTTTACTGTAACCACAGTAATTTATTTCCATGTACAATTAATAAGAGAAATGTCCCTTTTATTTCGTCGAAGGTGACTGTCCTGTATACGGTAACCATGGCACCAATATATTTAGTCATGACAAGAATTCCTAGTCCGAGTTTACACTGTCTTTGTATGTAGTGGTTCATTAGCTGCTGATGACATTTTTGCATCCTTTTTATTTTTCTTGCTTACTAGAGATTTTATTATTAGTGCTCTGCTGTGATTTATTTACTTAAAGTGGCAATATTTGTTTCTTACCGTCAGTATTGTGTACAGGTTATACATGTGATAAAATATGTCCTAGTTGTATCAACCATTATAAACCAAAATCAAAACCAGCCACAGTACACCAAGGTGATCTGACAGTCATCTTTTTATGTGTCTGAATCGCTCAAAAAGTGATTTGTTTTTATGAATGAATGATGATCTGTTGTACCAATGGAGGATTTTTAGGTCACCTGAGACAAAGTCTCAAGTGACCTATTGCGATCGCCTTTTGTCCGTCGTCGTCCGTCGTGCGTCCGTAAACAATTTACATTTTCGACTTCTTCTCCAAAACCCCTGAATCAATTTCAATGAAATTTTGCAGAAACCTTCCATGGCCAAAGATCAACAAAAATAGTTGCCGGTTTGGTCCCCGGCCCCAAGGGGCCTGAGGGGTGGGGCCAAAAAGGGTCAAATTGACTAAAATTTCAAAAATCTTCTTCTCAAGACCCAGATATGGTAGAATCAAATACTCTTCACAGATGGAAGGGTCTTAAGGTGCTTTACCAAAATTGTGAATTTCTTGACCCTGGGGTCTCATGTTTCCCCCTGGGGAGGGGGTAAACTTTACTATAGTTAATATAGGGAAATCACATTTTGGACCAATTTTTGTTTAATTGCCATTGGAGGTAATTCAATTTAAGTTATCATTATCAGTATTGGGTAGCAGTTTGATGATATGCACATATGAGCCCTGACTGACCCCCCCCCCCGGGCTATTGGGTGGGGCCAAAAAGGGTTGAATTGACTGAAATTTCAAAAATCTTCTTCTCAAGACCCAGATACGGTAGAATCAAACACTCTTCATAGATGGAAGGGTCTTAAGGTGCTCTACCAAAATTGTGAATTTTATGACCCTGGGGTCTCACGTGTTCCCCTGGGGAGGGGGTAAACTTTACTATAGTTTATATAGGGAAATCACATTTTGGACCAACATTTGTTTAATTTTCATTGGAAGTAATTCAATTTGGGTTAGCATTATCAGTATTGAGTAGCAGTTTGATGGTATGCACATTTCAGCCCTTGCTGACCCCCAGGGGCTGATGGGTGGGGCCAAAAAGGGTTGAATTGACTGAAATTTCAAAAATCTTCTTCTCAAGACCCAGATATGGTAGAATCAAATACTCTTCATAGATGGAAGGGTCTTAAGGTGCTTTACC